AGCCCTGACCAGCCGTGGCAATGAACTTGAATCCATCGCCTTCCGCAGTGAGGACATCACTGGCCAGCTGGTGAGACCCCTCTGCAGGAAGGGAAAGCCCACAGCCAGCTTTCACAGCAAGGTCTCCAGGAAGGAAGGGCTGAAGGAGGCCCATCAGCCTCGGCAGCTGAGGGCCAGCCAGCATGGAGCCCAGGCGCAGGGACTTCCTTATCCCCAGATCACGCGGCACAGCCAGACCAGGCCAGGCAGGGCCAGGGCAGGCATGTCGGGGTGGGGGGAGGGCGTCTGGGAGGTGGCCCTTCCCAGGGCCCCGGAGGCAGAGCATCCCTCCTCCTCCTCCTCATGGCGCCCCCTTCTGCCCAGTGGTGCTTCTCACACCTGTCTTCCTCCAGGGTAACAACGATGATCTCATCCTCTCCTGCTGCCTCCACTACTGCAAAGACAAGGCTAAGGACTTCATGCCCACCAGAAAAGGTACAGCTTTGCCCTGCCTTGGGATCATCCATCCCCTCTGTCCTCCCTCATCCTACCCATCCTCACCCTCTGAGAAGAGTTCCTCTGCTGACTCTGGCTTGGGAAGCCTAAGGAATCAGTGCTCAGAGCTGATGCACGCCTGAGGCCAGACCTCCCTGTCATAGCCCCAGGGAATGACAGGTGCACCCTGGGCCAACTAGGGAAGAGCCTAGCCCAGAAAGCCCAGCTCTGGGCAGTGAGGCTTTTCACTCAGCGTGCATCTCTTTCCTTTCTTGGGTGTCCTCAGTGAGTTCTGACAGCAAGAATGTCTTTATGATTCAGTGTAGCTGGTTCTGGCCGTGGTCTCCTGAGCCCAGCTGTCTGCAGCTCTCAGGACAGCCCCCAGGGGTCTGCTCACCTTCCCCCTTCTCAGTTCGGCCCTGAATGTGTGCCGGATTTCAGGCCTGCACAGAGGTGCTTCCCAGTCAGTAGTGGGCTTTGTTTCCTGGTCTCTTTGGTCACAGCTATAGCACTTTGAAGGCTGGCTAAAAGTGGAGGTAGGTGAGAGCTTGAGGACTGAGCCCTGAGCCCGGTTTTCAAGACCTTTTTGGGGAAACAGAATCTCATCTTTGGGCCAAAGGCCCACTCTGGGGTTGTCTCCCAAGCGCCTGACCACCTCACCCTCAACCCCGAGCTGTCCTTCACTCATCCCCCACAAGTCAGTGACACTTGGGGCTTTTCTGCTCCTGGCTCCCAGGATTCAGACATTTTTTCTTTTGGAAGGAATTCCTAGGACCTGCCAGCTCAGTGTCATCTGTGAAGCTGATGGTTCTCAGTGTTTAGTTTTTGTCTACTTCTGAGTGGTCTCCTGTCGTTTGCTCTCTGTCTGCTGCTCTCTCCTCTCTGCTCCCATTTCTAGCCCGTGCCTTCAGGCTGCTCTGGGAGTTGACCCTCTCCTGCCTCTTCTCCCTACACTAATGCAGCCCCTCACCCCTGCATGAGTCTCTTTACTAGGGGCTGGTTACAAGCCTGTAACTGCTGTTCCTCAGGAGGGGTCCTGCCCCAGGGTTTGCGTGTCATATAACTTAGGACCAGATAGGAGCATGGAGGTGATAAAAAGGAGCCGTGGCTGAGCCAAGCAGAGGAGCTTATGTTCTGCCCCTGGGAGCTTCCTGGAAGGGTACCTCCCGAGTGAGGGTAGGCAGGACTGCAGAGGCCTTGTTGGGAAGTGTGGTTCCGTGCTGCAGGGCCCCACCCTGGCCTCACAACTGGCTTTCTCAGCACAGACACATTTTGGCTTTGGCCCTGCTAGTCCTTCCACCCCCGACTTCACCCCAAACAGCCGACAGGGACCCGTTGCCATCCTGGGGACCGCCCCTATCAGAATTACATCAGCAATGGCTGGTGTAATCAAACCTCATTTGTCAGTGTGAATTCTTAGCAGATTAACTTGTCAGATTCACAGAGAAACCGTCACTAAATGTTTATGTGTAAACGATGTTGAATTTTAAAATCATGTGGATTATGGCGGATGGGGCCTGACAAGATGACAGCCTCTGGTTTCTAACAAAGTGAAGTTACCAGTGTCAAAACAGAGGATGTTTATTGTTAAAAATGTCTCAAAGTATCCACAGAAACCTCTGCAGACCCCTGCCAGCAACATCGGGCCTTGGTTGGCTGACCTAAGGCCTGGGACGCTCCTGGTCTGAGGCCCAGGGCAGGAATGGTGGGGCCGCAACAGATGCAGCCAGCCAGCTGGGAACCCCCCTGAGGCCTGCATAGCACCACCCCGGCCCACACTCACCTGCAGAGGGCCCTGCCCAGCCAGCTGAATAGGTTCTGAGCATCCCCTTCCCCAGGGCCACCTTCCTCTCCCCTCTGCCCACCACAGCCCCTTGCTTCCCTTCACGTTCCCTTCCTCTTGTCCTCTTCCTCTTACCACCAGCCCCACAAACCTCTCCCTCCTGAATCCTCCCCAGGCTGAAAGCCAGTTCTCAGCCTCCCTGCCTGGAGCTGGCAAGCCTGAAACTGCTCAGGTCAGACATGGATGTTTGCAGTCCCCATCCCCGCCAGCCCACGCAGTCAGTGAGCACCACAGGGCACTTCCTGTGCCCTGCTGTCTGCTGGACCTCCGTCAGGAGGGGCCCCGCCTGGGACTGAGGAACGGACCCGCCACCCAGGCAGGCATGCCAGGGGTAGGAATGTCACTTGTGTGAGTGCTTGTCCCTGGCTTCAGTTCTCTCCAATGTGTTAAAGATTAGGGAGTTAAGGGAAAGAGAGGTAGTGGGGAGATTGAGCTAAAAAAAAAAGAAGTCATCTAAAAAGAATGAAAGCTGTCTGTGCCGCTATGGAAAGGTATTTTAAGTATATAAACTCTGAGAAAGTGTGGCTAACATGATCACGATGATGTAGGAAAAAAGGCTTACATGTACAAGTGTATGTATTTGTAAATATGCATAAAGAAACCTGGGAGGATATACAGATCTTCCTCTGGGGCGAGACAGAGCTGGGGTAGTCATCGTAATTCGGCTCTGCCCTTTTCCTCTCCTGTACTGTTAGAGACTTTTGCCTGCACACATGGATTCCTTTTACTTAGCAGGGGCAGTCAGTTGGCCGAAGCCTTGGTATACCCTTGGCACAATTCTGCGAAGACCCTCACCCCCTTCTCTCCTCAGGGCTCCCTTGAGCTAACCCCTCTCCCCACATCCGGAAAACCCTGGATACATTTTCTGTTCCATCTTTTGTCTTCTACCTCTGGATGCCTAAAGCATCAGCCTGCTGGCTTTCAGAGGGAGAGGACTTGTTAAAAAAAAAAAAAAAGTGGGGGTTTGCTTTGGACTTTCCAAAAAAAAAAAAAAAGTGGGGGTTGGGGAGCGTGGTGTTGTGATCCAGAGCCAGCCATGTGGTAAGAAGAACTAGAAAGCAAGGGGCTGCTTCTGCTCCCTCAGGTCAGGGTGCTGCAAGACAGGTCTTGAGGCTGGTGGGTTTGGGCCGCCCTCAGGAACTAGGTAGAAGAGTCCTGCGTGGGAGGCAGGAGTCAAAGCAGAAGCGCGGTGCAGCCCTCTCTACACCAGTGGGGGAGGGGCCCCTGAGGCTGAGAGCCCAGGTGGAAGAAAGGACTTGTGGAAGGGCCAAGAAATGGCTGGTGTGGCACCCCCACCCTCGGACCACATTCTCCAGGGTGAGGAGAGCAGCCCGTGCCCCTGCCTCCTGTCCTCAGTGACAGCCTTCCACTCTCTCGCGCCCACAGAGGAGCCCATCCGGCTGCTGCGGGAGGTGGTGCTGTTGACGGATGACCGGAACCTGCGTGTGAAGGCGCTCACAAGGAATGTACCTGTACGGGACATCCCAGCCTTCCTCACATGGGCCCAGGTGGGCTGAGGGAGCCACACTGGGGCCCACCCCTGTGGAACCATTCCTGAAAGGCCACCAGGCGCCCAGTGTAGCACAGAAGATGCCCACGTGCCTGAGCCACCAATCCACCCAGACAATAAACCATCCTCTTCCAACCCACGCCGTGGCCATGCTGTGGGGGAGCTGCTCCTCACAGAGCCCCTCCCAAGGATTGGGCGGAAGCTGCTGGGACCCTCCTGGGCTGCCAAGATTTAGCAGGGAGGTGACTGGCTGCAGCAACAGCAGCTGGGCAAGCCAGATAGGCCGCCCGTGCCCTCAGCCTTTCTCCCTCCCCTGCCTCATCCTAAGGCTGGTGGGGGGCCTTCTGGCCTGGAACGCAGCCACTTTCTCCAGTGGAGACAGGGCAAGGGTTTTCGAGTTTTCATCAGATGCAGTGGAATCACAGGTCCCTTTCCTCTTCAGAACCTCTGTCCTGAATGTTCAAGAGGCTTTGGTTATGTCAGGAAGCAAGTGCCTAGGGTGTGTCTCTCCATCTCCCTGGGCCTGGACTTGCCCATGGACCCCAGTGGCTTCTGGACACCGTCTCCCTAACACCAGCCCTGGGTCCTCACCTGTTCTACCATCCACCCCAGGCATAACACACACCCATTCTGCTGCTCTTCTTCCTGCCCTTATCCATCTGGGTCCCTCAAACTTTGCCATTGGTTTCCCCTTGGACAGTCATGGGTCTAGAGGAAAGGGACATCTGGTCCCAGGCCCGTGCTCCCTGGGTGGCCTCCACCTGCACCCTCTCTCCTCGCTGGCCTTCCTTCACTCTAGCTTCCTCTTCAGGAAATGTCCTGACTTCTTGGCTCCCCTCACACTCCTCCCCTCCTAGCTGAGCCTTCTGGCCTCCCTGATCCCTTTTATTTCTTCTCCTCAGTTCCTCCCATAGGGGTTCTCACTCTGAACCTTCTCTACTCCCCGTGGCAGGAACCTAGTACAGCTTTCTCACCCAGGGCCTTCCACCCTCGGCTCCTGTGCTAGGAGAACCTTCCCAGGTGTGGGCAGCCCAGCCTGAGACCTTCCAGTGCCTGGGGTAACATCACCACCTGGAGTTGCCACCTGGTTTCTAGCTTTGCCCTCACTTCCCAGAACAGACGCAGGGGCCCTCTCCTTGCCCCTTTAGCTGGTCCCTCAGTGAGGAGGCTTCCTTACCAGGAATGAGTTCCTCCAACCCAAGGCCAGAGATAAGGATGACTTAGGCAAGACAGGGCTTTAGGTGGAGCCAGGGGCAAATCTTAATGGGACCAGAGCCCAGGGCCAGACTGCACAGCTCTGCCCTCCCTGAGGCCCAGGACTATGCCAGAGCAGAGGCACTGTGCTGGGAACCCAAGGCCAATAGTTTGGGGGGGTGAGTCCCCTAGAATCTCAGAAGGTGGGGTACAGGGAGTACAGGGTCCCTGGCTTCTCCTTTAAGATCCTCTCCCCAGCCCAGAGGTGGATGACTGGGGGTTGGGAGGGAGACCCATCTCTCCTTGCTGTCCCGTTTGCAGCACTGGTTTTGTTTCCTTAATAAATTTTTAGTTATGAAATATACCTGACCTCTTGCTGACCTGTTTCTGGGATGGGAAGGGGAGGCAGGCCCATGCCTCTGTACCTGTGTGAGGGTGGCCCTTTCTGGTTCCTCCACCCAGCGGGTTCTGCCACCCAGGTCCTTGTGCAAGGGCAGAAGAGAGCGGGGGTCGGGGTCCTTGGTTACTGCTTTATTGCTGTTTGGTTCGAGTATAGAAAATGGAAGCGGCTCTGGAAGAGCCTGTGTACAAGGTAGGAAATATACAAACTAAGAGGAGGGAGCTAAAGAGACCGCATTCCAGCCCAGCCCAGCCTGGGCTCGGGATGGGGGGCCGCCGGGGCGCATGCAATAAATATGGTCCGGGGCCCCAGGGAAGGGAGGGGGCACCGTGGGAGTGGGTGAGCTGGTAGGCCAGGGCTCTTAAACCTCCGACTCCAGAACTCCCCGCCCTCGGTGGTCGAGGAAGGAAGGGTTGGCCCTGGGGCTAGTGCCACTTGTGCAAAATGAGGAACTTCACATTATCAGTCCCGGGGTGGGGGGGGGAGCGGGGTGCGGGGGGGCCCTCCGGCCGGCTCAGTCCCCTCCCCACTCCCCAGCTCTGCCCGACGCTCCGACCCCAGCGGGGAGATTCACAGTGAGAATGGGTGTGGTCGCAAGGGCCGGAGGTAGGGCCAGGAGTGCCCCAAAAGTGACACCCCTCCCCCTAAGAGCAGCGCGGAGCCAGGGGAGGGGGCCAACGAACCACAGGAAGAGGCGGGGAGGGGCCTGGGGTCTCCTTTGGTCAAAGCTGATATCAAAAATATAGATTTCCCTTACCCCGTCCCACCCCCGTCCCGGGGTTTCCACCCCCCCCCCGACCCCCGAGCTAAGGCACAAAGCAGTGAGGCCAGGTGAGGCCGCCGAGAGGTGGGGCCGCCACTGCGGAGACGCAGCCGCGGTGGCTGGGGCTGTCCCGGGCGCGGTTGGCCTGCGCGCCGCCCCCGCCGTGCAGGCCCGGGCCGCGCAGCAGCGACTGGGCAGGCGGGCGAGGGGCGCACTAGGTGGGAGAGAAACGGTCGATGGTCCGGCCGTCGGGCCCGGCCGCCAGGTGGGCGCCCTGGCTCAGCACCTCGGCCGCCTTGTCAGGGCTGAGGCCCAGCTCGGCCGTGAACTTGGCCAGTGGGTAGAGGCTCTCCAGCGCCACCTTGGGGTCGTGCAGGAAGTGCGTGGTCTGCGCCAGCAGCTCGGCCGCAGCCGCCTTGTCCTGCTGCTTCAGGCTCAGCTGCTCGGCCGTGAGGCGGGCCACGGCGAAGACGCCCTCGGGGAAGTCGAGTTTGCCCTTGCCGTCTGGGCCGGGGACGCCGGGGAGCCCCCCCAAGCCCGCCAGCGCCCCGGCCGCGCCGGCCGCGCCCCCCACGGCGTGCATCTTCATGTGGCTGATGAGGTTGCGTTGCTGCGCGAACTTGCCGCCGCACACCTGGCACTCGTAGGGCTTCTCGCCGGAGTGGATGCGCATGTGCTCGGTGAGGCGGTACTGGCGCGTGAACCGCATGCCACACGCGTCGCACGCGAAGGGCTTGAGACCCAGGTGGCTGCGCATGTGGCGCGTCATCGTCCCACGCTGCGTGAACTTCTTCCCGCAGATGGTGCACGGGTAGGGCCGGGTCAGCCAGTGCGTCTTCTCGTGCTGCCGCAGCGTGGCTGGATCCTTGTAGCTCTTGTCGCACGACGCGCAGCGGTAGGGCCGCAGCAGCTCTCCCAGGCCCCCGGGACCCCCGGCGACCTTGTCCCCGCCGCCTCCGAAAGGGGGACCGAGGCCGGCGGCTCCCGCGGCCACTTCGGCCGCCTCGGCCCTGCCATACAGCGCCTCCTCCTCCTCCACGTGCGCCTCCACGTGCGCGTTCAGCTGCTCCGAGCTGGGGAAGCCCTTGCCGCACGGGATGCACACGTACAGGTTGTCGCCGAAGCTCTCGGGCTCGCCGTAGGCCAGGTGCGGGCAGGGGTAGCCCTCGAGGTGGCCGCCGGGCGGGCTGGGGTCCTCGCTGCTGCCGGTCTCCTCGCTGCTGCTCTTATAGTCGTCGCCGTCGCCGCCCGCGCCAGGCCCGTCCAGGCTGCCTGGGTAGCGCGGCGGCGGCGCCAGGCCGAGCGGGGGTCCCCCGGGCGAGACGGCCGCGTCCCCACCGCGCTCTTCGCAGCGCTCGCTGGGGGAGCCACGCTCCCGGCCCAGCTCGTCGCCATAGTTACCCAGGCCCGGCTCGTGCTTCATCCAGCGGTAGAGGAGACTCGTCCCGTCGGGGCGGCCGGGGGGCTCGGGTCCCGGGCTGCCGCTGCCGCCGCGAAACGGATCCGAGGGCGGCGCGGCCTCCTCCAGCTTCTGGAAAGGCAGCGGCAGCGGCGGCAGCACGAGCGGCGGCTCCTTGTAGGCGGCGGGGCCGGCGCTGGGAGGGCTGTCCGGGCGCGGGGGCAGCTCGCGCTCAGCCAGCGGCCGCTCTGGCGCCGCGGAGCCCGGGGGGCTCTTTTTGGACAGGTCCAGGCCGCACAGAGGGGAGCAGCGGCGCTCCGAGACGCAGAGGGCGGCGGCTGGGCCGGGCCCCGAGGCATACAGCTCGGCGCAGTGCGTGTTGACGGCGGCCTCGGGGCCTGGGGGCGGCTCCGCGGCGGGCGGCGGAGGCCCAGCCGGGGACGGGTAGCATGTCTGGATGACCGGCGTGGCGGCCCGCAGGCCCCGGCCCGGCCGGCCGTAGGGCGCGTAGCCGCCGCCGCCGCCGCCGCCGCCCCGCAGGTGGCAGTACTTGCCGTGGCGCTTGAGGCGCTTCTTGCACAGAGCCACGAGGTCAGGGATCTGCAGGTAGCTGGCGGCGGCCAGCACGGCGCCCAGGCTCGGCTCGGCCCCCGGGGCCACGGCCGCCGCCGCTGCCGCCTCCGCGCCGTCAGCCAGGCGGCCCGTGTAGATGAAGTCCAGCACCAGGCGGAACACGGCCGGGCTCACCATGTCATGGTCCAGGTTGAGCAGGTTGTCGTGCACCACCAGGGACTTGAGGTAGGCGCTGCTGGCGGCCAGCACGTTCTTGTGCGCGCGGAAGAGGGCGTTCTGCACCACGATGATCACGTCGCACAAGAAGCCCTTGGTGCGCTGGCTGTTGAGCTGCAGCAGCAGCTGCCGGGAGTGTCCGGGCGCCTCCATCGTGTCCAGCATCGTCTGCCCAGCACACTCTCCTGCGGGGACACACACCGGCCGGTGAGAGCTTGCGGCGCTGGCCGCCTGGCCCCAGCCCGGCACGTCTCTCTCCACTTCCCCTTCCTCAGCTGAGCGGGGGCATCAGCACTGCGGCCTGGGCACCGGCGAGGACCCGCCGCCCTCTGCAGTGGGGCCCAGGCCTGCCCGCCCGGACCGGGAGAAAGAGCGGGACCAGAGCGACCGCCGGCGGAGGGCGGAGGGCGGAGGGGAGGCCAGGCCGGCCTGCACGCCCCAGGCCCAGACGCCGCGGGGCACCCGGCTGGGCGCTGGGGCTTCCCAGGAGACAACTGTTCGGGCGAAGTGACCCTCTGTGAGACAGTTACCCGATTTAAGTAAAATGTCCGCTTCGGGAAAAGTCATTCAGGGCGGAGAAGTTTGCCCAAGTAGGGAGAAAGGGAGCCGGGCAGCGAGCGCCTCCCGCCTCGCCTCGGGAGAAGTTGCCCCAGTTGGGGGAAGTGATACGGAGGAGGGGAGCGCGATGCCCGCCCTGGCGCCGCCCTAGCCAGGGTCTGTCAACCCTCGGTCGGGGCCCGGGCAGAGGCCGCGCAGGGAGCGGAGGCAGCGGCTGCCGCGGCGGGCAGAGCGCGAAGGCCCGGCCCGGCGCGGGGAGGGCGTTATATCGGGGCAGGAGGCTGAGGCAGGAAGCAGGTGGGGGGGAGGGGGGAGCCACGCAGTTCCCAGGGGAGGGAGGGGGCAGCGCCCCGGGCGGGCACTGCGCACAGCCGGCTGCGGCCCTGACCCGGGCCTGCGCCCCACCCGCGTCCCGGCCTCGGCCTGGGCCCTACACGCGCGGGCCGGGCGCCTCCCTCCGCGGCTCCCCCGGCCCCTTCTCCCCCGGAACTCCGCCACCCCAAACTTGGGGAAAAGTTTTCCAACTGCAGACAAGGCGGGAGGAGCGCGCCGGCCCCAGGCCCCCGGCTCGCAGCTCTTCCACGCGGCCCCCAATTCCGGCGGCAGATCCCGGGGCCGAGCCCCGAGTCCCCTGCCCGCGGCTCGCTCGCCCCCCCGACCCGGTTCCCCTCTTGGCCAGCGGGGCTCCGGGCCCGTTACCTGCGGCCCCGGCGGGCCGGGATCCCCTCCCCGCGGCGATGGCAGCTCCTAGCCGGTGCCCCACCCGCCGCTGCCAGGCCCCGAGCTGTGCCAGGGCAGCGCCCCTGCCAGCCCCGCCCGCCAGCTCCCCTTCCCTTCCCCTCGCCTCTGCAGCCCATGTGCGGGCAGAGCCGGCCCCGGGCCGCTGACCCCGCCGTGAACCCGGAGCCGAGCGGCGGCCCGGCGATCCCGAGTCCGACAGGGACGACACCCGGAGCCCTGAGCGCTAGCCGCCAGCCCGCGATGGGGCGCCCGCGCCAGAGGATGCGCCCGAGGCGGCCGACGCGCGAGGACCGGGCTGTCCCGGGCCCCCAGTCCCTCCCGGTCCCCGGCTCGAGGACCCACCTGGGGGGCATGTCGAAAGCCCCGGGCCCGGCTGCCGGCGGATCCAGGGGGGACGTGGCTGCTCTGCCCTCCGCCCGCCGGGCCCCCGGTCGGTCTGTCCTGCTGGTCCGTCCTCCCCGCGTCCTGGTCGCGTCTCAGCCCCGCCGCGCTTTCCGCACACTCTTATCTGGAGCGGCCCGGGCCGGCGAGCGCTGCTGCGGCTATGGCGCCACCTCGCGGGCGCACGGGGCTCTGCGGGCCAGGCCACGGCCTTCCTCCCGCGCACCTGGGCTGGAGGCGCACAGATGCTAAGCGACCGGGAGGGACCCACCCCGCCCACCGCGCCCCAGCCGCAGGCACGCCCTCCCACACGTGCCCACCTGGCATCCCGACCCCGGACACGTGAGCCTCGGAAACGCTGGGCTTTGAGCTGAGCGCTCCCATGTACGTATTTGTATATACACAGCCCCAGTTCGGAAAAGCCCTGCCCGCAAGGACAAGACTCTGGTGGGAGGGGAGAGGTTATCCTAAGCAGGAGTAGCCAGGCTCTCCGGGAACTCTCCGAGGACGTTACCGTACGGTACTGTCCATTTGGACGCACGGCCCAACACACCCACCCTCACTCAGGCGCACGGACTCGGCGTGCGCGGCATGAACCGGCTTGTCCCAGCCCTCTCCAAGCACTGTCACTCCAGGCATGTTTCCAGACCCACACCTGCCCCTCCCCGGAGCCCTGGCGCTCTGGATACTCCTGGGGCAGCCACGTAGGGCCCTCTGGGAACATGGGCAGAGGTGTTACCCACACAGCCCGCCCTGAACTTGCGGGTCTCCTAAAGGAGTCCACAACGAGCCATCACGGCGACTGGAAAATAGCTGGAAAGCGCCTGTGGTGGGGGAGCGCAGAAGTAACCCCGGGGCCCTAAAATCCCGACCTACGCCGTTGTGTAGAATCCCGCATGGACTTTTCCTCCAACCCACCCGCCCGAAGGAAACGACAGGTGTGCCTGCGGCTGGGATCCCGCAAGGTCCCGCGCCCCACGTGAAGGTCAGGTGTGTAGGTGACGCGTCTTCTAGGAAGAAGGGGACCCCGCACTAGTGCGCGGCTGCCGGCACTACTATCCGGAAGTGGCCCCGTGCGGCCTCGCAGCGCACCCAGCCTCTTGCGAACGCCGGATCTCCGCGGCCCACGCTCCGCCTCCGCCCCACACCTCCTGACCCCCGCCCACACGCGGCGTGGAGCGGGGGGGGGGCTCCCCGAGAACTCTGACGCTTCCGATTGGCTGCGCCTCCCTCTGCCGTGGAGCGCTAGGGGCTGGGACGCAGCGTTTCCATGGCAACCGATGAGGTGCGCCCGGCTCCAGTCCCTCCGAGGCCTTGGAGAGCTTAGCAACCGCGCTCGCCGCCCCCCCGCGCTGTCCTCTGGCCCCCACAGCCCCGCCAGAGGTACCGGCTGAGTCACCGGGCGAGGGGCAGCCGGCGCGACGTAGCGCCCCCCGAGCGACACAGCCGGCGGCCTCTCCCCCCACAGGCTCAGCATCTGTGCGCCTCCAGCCCAGGCCTCGGGCGCCCCCCGGAGGCTCCAGTTGCTGCGCGGGCGACCACACGGCCTCGGTGCCCAGCGGAGGCTTCGGTCCTTACAAGTTCGCCTGATTCCCGCCGCCCGAGTCCGCCCCTCTCTCTGCTTCCCCCCGGGGTTCTGGATCCATCTTACCCACGCCCTCTCCAGTGTCTCCCCATAGCATCCTCACTGGAGAATGAGTGAGGAAAACGGAGGCCTCCGGAGCTGATGGTCTCTAGGGCAGACGAATCCCCCCGACATCTGGCCGAGGGACGTGCTGCGGCCTGAGATGGAAGTTACAGAGTGTTGAGGAGAGGTGGAGAGGCTCCTTAGAAGTGCTCCTAGAGCTGGGCTTTGACGGATGAATAGGAGTTCTCCCACTGAGCAGGAAGGCATTTGTAAATAATGGAACCCCGGGACAAAGGCTAGCGGCCAGAAAAAGGGAGCTCGAGGAGGCCAAATCCCAGAGCATGCAGGGCCTCTGACCCCATCTCCTTTTATCTTTTCTCCTTTTGATACAGTCAGATGCCCCCCTTCCAAAGAGCCCCTTCGCCCCATGTGTCTTGTGCAGTGGAGTCTGTGCATTGCTGACCTGCCCCAGGGGTCTGCTGGGCCCACAGTCTTTATTCTTCAGCGTTTCCCCTCATCCGCTGCCCAAGTTAACTTACTGCCCTTACCCCTCCCACCCGATTCTCAAGCCCTCATTCCATTGGTGAGGGAGGATCTCACAGCCCTGCCCCAGCCCAGGCAGTGTGAGGGCCTCCTTGCCCTCCCATGGACTTCACTCTTCCCCCTTCTCTCCCTGCCCTGCTTTTCCGGCCGTGCCCTGCGCAGCCCCTCCCCATGCTGGCCCAGCTCCTCGTATGAACGCCCTTCCCCCCCC